TATCATCCAGAGTGTAGGACAAGGTATAATGGGCTTGTTATACAAAAACAGATTTCAGATGAATGTCAGGAAAAACATCACGATAAGAACAATCTGACAGTTGAAGCAGTTATCTAGAGAGCTGCTAGGTTCCCCATGGTTGCACATGTTCAGAGACTAAACAGCCATCTGCTCTAATTTGGATTCCTATGCTGAGCATGAGGTTGAGCTCAATAGCCTCTTCCAGCTACAACGATTCTATGATTTAATAGAATGAGGATATCCAATGGCGCCAACTCTCCATTCCCCTTGAAGTGCAATCCACTTCCTCTCTGCTTTGCTTCAAGAAGAGGCTAAACATAATTTTATACCTTAGCCTTTCCCTTTGGACTTTTCATTTTATGAGTGCACATTGGATTTTAAATATTTAAAGCTATGTAATGCTGCATTATTCTGATACTCTGGTTATGAATTTTAGATTGCACTATGTGGTTTTAACCAAATCTTTGTAATTGTATGATATTCATGTTGAGGTTTTGTTTAAAAGAGGCAACGATCAGGCAACTCAGTTTGTCCTTTTGGTCTTTCAGTACCATTAATTTTAATATCTTTAAATGGATAAGTTATTTTGAACTGATATGTGCAAGATCTACAGTAAAATGATCCTCTTCATTTCTGTATCGGTAATTTCAAAAAGGGATACCATTGTTCTACTTCATAGCAGTTGTGCTCTGGGGTTCCTCTGGGGTTCCCTGTACTTTTAACACCCACATAAAACCATTAAGAAAGGTTATCTAGGAACATATATGAGCTGATGTACCATGACACATCCAGCTCTACTTTTCTTCTTTTTCTCAAAAAGAGAATATTATCAATGCTCTGAACCAATGTGCTGGCAGGGTAATCAACTTGTTGAGGTTTAATAAACTGAGACTTAAACAAGGCAGAACAAGCTGTTTGTGAAAAGCTTCCCTGTCTAATTAAGTGAACATCATTCTGGTTGTGCTCCATCTGAAAGAACATGCTTGTATTTTGGGAGTGATCTTCGCTCCAACTTTGTCATTGGAAGCTCAGGTGGTCCCAGTGGCTCAGAAGGCCAATTATCAGCTGAGGCTGGTATGCCAGCTCTGATGCTGTCTGAACAATTAGACTTAAAACAATGATTTATGCTCTGGCAACCTTCTGCTGCTGTTAAGCAGTTGCTTTGGCCCCTTGCAGTATGTAATCCTTTCTGGAACTCAGCAATCTGGACTCCACTTAGGTCAATACTTTAATACAGAGTCAAGCAACTGCAGAAAGACAGACTCAGAGTCAGCTCCTGGGCTTCTTTCTGCTGCTTTTTTGGCAGAGGGCTGCTTACAGGCCTTTTCCCACACTGTCTTCCACCTGGCATTTGTTTACAAAATGGTTAATTCTCTTCCCAGGGTCTTTTGATCCCCATTTTATCTGCTCCAATGTTCACAGTTGCAATGAGTAATACATGGAATTGCCTTTGAAATGGCCCAGAAACTTCACTTTATTTCAAAACAGAGCTGTTAGGCTTCTAATTCAGACAAATACACTCACATCATATCAGTGCTTTGCCCTCTGCATTGCCTGCCAGTCTTTCTAGGTCTAATTCAAAGTGTTGCTATTAACCTATAAAGCTCTAAAGAAGTCCCCCCCCCTCCATATTTATCCACTCAGATCATTACATTTTTGTCCTCCTACTGCCCCCTTTGGGATCCCCTCTCCCATGAAAACTATACTGTATAAGATGAAAACATTACTATTGTGATTTCATTCTGCTGCTGCTGCTGTTCCTAATGTGTAACTTTTTTGTTGTCATTTTTAAAAAATGAACATAATTAAACTTACATACATACATATATATAAACAGATTTATATACCACCCTCCCAAAGAATTAAGATTACTAGACAACTTAGGAAAGCAATGAAGAGAGAAGAGGGTAAACAGGTCTTGCCTTGGGTAACATGGCCTGGCCTCGAACGCACTACCCCCCTCTTTCCTGGAGATACAGCTGGCCCCAACTCTGTTGGCCTTCAAAAAGGCAGGAAAACTGGCTTTTTCCTGGGCCCTTGAGGACAGGATGATTGGAGGTCCCTTCTGGAGAGGGGTATGAATGTGAGTTCCTGGTCACCTTTTTGGATTTTAACTGAATTTGTTTTGTTGGAGGGATCTATTGTACCCCTCCAGAGTGGGAAGGTTTGAGTTGGGTGGCCATGTACATTCAAAAAATAAATGAGTGGAGAAACAAGGAAAGAGAAGGGGAGAGGAGAGCAGTACAAAAGAAATCCTTTGCTTCCAATTCTCCAGTTGCATGGAGTGATGCCACAGGTCTTCTGCTGCCCATTACTAGCACCAAAGCAGACATTCCTCACCCTGCTCTTCTCCTTCCACTTCTGGTGCAAGCTGAGCCACTATTGTGAGACTGAGTAGAAGTAAGGAGTGCAATCAGCACTTTTTTAACGTGG